TCCGGCAATTTTTTTGCCGGAGCCGATCAGTTTACTCCGCAGCGATGACAGCCGGATTCCATTCGAATTTCCGGAAAGGGGCGTCAACTGGCGTGTCTGCCAAATGGTTCACATAGTTTGACATGACTTTCTGTGCAACGCCAAGAATGACGTCGAGGATCTGTCGCCGGGTATAGCCCGCTGCAAGAAATGCGTTTGTGTCCTCTTCTGAGACCACGCCACGCTGACGAACCACCCTGAGCGTGAACCGGCGCAGCGCCTCGAGTTTTTCATCCTCAAGCGGAGCCCCGTTTCGCAAGGATTCGATGAGACCGGCATTTACCTTCTGCATGTGCGCGATCGCCGTATGCGCCGGGACACAATAGTGACAGGCGTGTTCGACGTTTATGGCCATCCACACGACGGTCTGTTCGACGACCGAGAGGCTTGTCTGCTGAAAAAGTTCGTGCAGTTTCTGATAGGCCTCAAGATGTTGAGGAGAGTCTGCCATCACGGCGTGAAGGTTCGGAATCATTCCGAAGTCCTTGAGGGAATTGTCCAGAAGTGGACGGCTCTCGTCAGGTGCGGATTCCAGCGTGTGAAGTGTGAAATCGGTCATTTGCATCTCCTGTTTCGGCGTCATTCGACGTCGTTACCGTTTGTCGGTAACCGCGATGTAGGTATTCTGTACTTAGTAGTCAAAAATAAAACCGAACTCCGGAATCGCAAGAATCCGCGGTTCTTGGAACTCTTCAAGCAATCGTGAATTTGACGGTGATACGCTTGGCTTCTTGTCGAGTGAGAACGACGAGGGCTAAGCTGAAGACCAAGATCCGACAAAGGACCAAGGGTCGGAGAGCCGGAGGACAAAGCGCGAATGACTGTCATCCAGGAAAGTCAGGAGACACAAACAGCCCTTCGGGATTTCGGCCGCTGGCTGCTGCAGTCCGGTGGTTTACCCGCCGACAAGACAGAAGATCTGCTGACGAAGTCCAGGGCCTTGCATTGCAGGTCTGGTGAAACCGTCTTTTCGGCTGGAGACACACTGGAAGAGCTGTTTTTCGTCAATTCCGGACTGGTTCGGTATTACTACCTCACACCCGAGGGGAAAGAGTACAACAAGAATTTCGTATCCTCCGGCAGTGTCGTGACAAGCCTGTCTTCCTTTCTGGAGGCAAAACCGGCACCGTTCTTTACGGAGGCTCTTGAGGACACTGTTCTTGTTGCAGTGCCAATCGAACTGGCAAGGAATCTGGCGTCCGATGACATCGACTGGGAACGGCTGGTCGGCCGTTTCGTCAGGGCCCTTGCCATTCAAAAGGAGCAACGGGAGGCATCTTTCCTTTTGAAGAATGCCGAACAGAGATACGAGGCATTTCTGAAAGATTTCAGCGCGTTAGCCATGCGACTTCCACAATATCACATCGCTTCCTATCTCGGCATCACCCCGGTCGCTCTTTCACGAATTCGCTCCCGTCTTGCTTGTCGGCGCGTTTCTTAACCCCGGTTAATGCAGATGGTTTCAGCACTGAACATGATGCCCTCACATTGACCTGAGGACGCATTGGCATGAACAAAACCATCGTTATCACCGGCGGCGCAATCGGATTGGGCCGGGAACTCACGCGGCTTTACTGCGAAAGGGGGCATCACGTCGTGATTTGTGGCCGTACGCGATCGGCATTGGAAGAGGTCAGGTCTGCCCATCAGAACGTGACTGCCGTTTGCGCGGATCTCGCGGCACCGGAAGGCAGACGGCACTTTCTGGAGGAGATCCATGCTCTAGAAATCGAAGTCGATCTGCTGATCCACAATGCGGCGCTTCAATTCACGTATGACTTCGTGAAGGGCTGCGTGCCGGTTGAAAGGATTGAAACCGAGCTTCTGGTCAATCTCCTGTCGCCCATGGAATTGACGACGGACCTGCTCCCCTTGTTGAAAACATCAGGGGACGCCCGTGTCGTCTTCATCTCATCAGCCCTTGCCCGCGTTCCCAAGCGGTCCGCACCGGTTTATTGTGCCAGCAAGGCTGGATTGTCGGTTTTTGCCAGGGCGCTGCGGTATCAGCTCGAAGACACCGGGATTCGCGTCTCGGACGTTGTTCCGGATCTGATTGTGACCCGGATGGCACGTGGCCGCGGAGACAAGGCGCTTTCAGCGCTTGAAGCTGCCGGGAAAATAATAGCGGGCCTGGACAAGGGCAAGGATGAAATTCGACTGGGCCGCGTGCCGATATTGTACCTGTTGCACAGGTTTGTGCCAGGCCTTGCCTACAAGGTGTTGAAGGCTGCATAAGCTCCACGAAAACAGCTGCTTGGATCACTCCTTTGCTTGACCTCTGTCTGAAAGCCACTTAAGTCCGCAGGCGCCAGTCGGCCGGACAGCCGCTGCTGCAAGTGTCGAAAGACCGCAGGAGAGGAAAGTCCGGGCTCCAAGGAAACACGGTGCCGGGTAACACCCGGCGAGGGCGACCTCAGGGAAAGTGCCACAGAAAGCAAACCGCCTCGGCTTGCCGGGGTAAGGGTGAAAGGGTGGAGTAAGAGCCCACCGCGCTACTGGCAACAGCAGCGGCACGGTAAACCCCACCGGGAGCAAAACCGAATAGGGGCAGCGCGGTCCGGAAGCAATTCCGGGCCAGGCCGGTTTCCAGGCCAGCTGTCCGGGTTGGTTGCGTGAGACGCCTGGTGACAGGCGTCCCAGATGAATGGCTGTCGCGTCCGCGAAAGCGGGCCTTACAGAACCCGGCTTACAGGCCGGCTGGCAATTCGTTTCTCATTCACCCGGCCGTGTATTGCGGCGCGCTTGCCAGGGACTCACCATAGGACGCTGCATCCGGATAGGAGAATTGTTCTGCTATCGGGTTGGACCGTTTTGTCTTGCCCGCCCCCATGTCAGACAGAAGTTCGTCGAAATGCCGGAAGTGGAACGGTGCTGAACAAAGGCCACCGTAAACCTTTGCCGCCGGGCGCTCCTTGCGGCGCCAATCAAGCATTTCTTCAATATTGCGGTTCATGTCTTCATCGCTTGGCTGGTTGGCAAGTTTGCCGTCCGCATAGCGAACGAGCCAGTTCGCGATCATTTCGGCGGACAGGATCGTGCAGAAGCTGGAATTGAACCCGACAAATCCCATGTCCGGCATGTCAGGGTTTACGGCGAGACGATACACACGGTATTGACCATCATGCTCGATCAGCTTGTCCTGGTACTCCTGAGCCAGGTAGGGCACGCCAAGTTTCCACCCAACCGCTAGAATAGAGAGGTCGCAGGGCACTTTTTCACCGTTCGTCAGAACAATTTGATCCTCCTCATATCGCTCGAATGATCCCCTGACCGGTTTGATCGAACCGTCCTTGAAGCCTTCGAACAGGCCCGGGGTCACGATGGGGAGCGAGCAGGATGCATCCTTTTCAATCGGTGTGTCGGGCACCATGTCCCATTTTTTCAAGCCGAGCTGCAACTTGAGAAGGGTCTCAAGGCCGCGGAAGTTGGCCCAGATCAGCGGCTTGAACGCGGTAAAGAGAGCCTTGCCCAGGGGGGATGGACTCCACCCGTTGAACTGCTGCTCCTGCGCCCGCATGTACAAAAGGCGCTTGAAATTGATACCGCCGACGAAATACGGCACGCGCCACACGGGTTCCCGATAGACGAGTGTTACGGATTTCGCGCCGTTTGCTGCCGCGTTGACGGCAATATCGGTTGCGGACTTGGAACCTCCCAATACGACGACATTTTTCCCTGTCACCGTGGTCGGATCGGTGTATTCCGAGCTGTGGATGACATCACGACCCGTGGCCTGAAACGCGTCCTGGCCCGGATGGGTGATTATGTTCTTGTCAGAGAACTGTCCGGTGCAGACCGCGACAAAATCAAAGTCCTGCGTCCAGGTTTTGCCGGCCGCTTCCAACGTAAGCGTCCAGCCGGGCAGGCCGTCGTTTCTGCGATCCATGGATTGAACGTTCGTGTTCAGCTGAAACAGCCTGGCCAGTTTGTGTTTGTCCGCATAGGCATGAAGATAGGCATGGACCTGTGGCCCCTTCGGCCATTCGGGATATTCGTCCGGCATGGCAAGATCTGTGTATCTGTAAAGATCTTTCGGGGACTGGGTCTGGACGCCCGGATAGGAACGGGACAGTTCCCAGACACCGCCAAAATCGTGGCTTCGCTCAAAACCGAACACCCGATGGCCGCGTTCATCGAAGGCCTTGGCCGCGGCAAGGCCACTCACGCCGCCGCCGATGACAGCGACGTTCTTTCGTTTCGTCATTTTGATCTCCTCGCTGAATTTTCGCGCAGGTCAGGCCTGGTCCGGCGGTGGGAGGAAGTCGACTTCGTGCAGGGCCGACAGTCTGACCAGTTCCTGCGGATCGGTAACGCCATTCAGCGCGCCGAACAGGTCGAAGAGCTTGCGTGTCGGTGCGACTCCGAAGATGCAGGTCGCGGTTTTGCCGGACCGATTGTAAATACCATGGGCTTCACCCATCGGCATTCTTACAGTGTCTCCGGCCTTTGCCACGTGGGTCTCGCCGCCCATCTCGACCTGCAATTCACCCTCAAGCATGACGATCCATTCATCCTGTGTCGAGTGGATGTGCGGTGGGACGAATGTTTCTGCCGGAACAACAGCGTGCCAGATGAACGCATTGGTACTGTGCAATTTTGGTGTGTAGGTATGCCCGACGACATTCCAGCTTATGTCGCCCAGGCTTCCGTCAGCGGATGTGATGCCAGCTCCGTTTTGCATTTTGTTCCCCTCCATTGTGCAGTGTGTTGGCGGAAAAAATGCTAAACTGACTTCTCGGAATTGTTTTATCCAGATTGCGAAAAAAACTGACCGGATGCAGTAAATTGCCGCATTGTCGGATCCGAATGCTTGAATGAATTTCCTGCTCACGGCATGATTTGTCATGTCCCAGGCCGCGCATAGACCGCCACTGAGTAACTACCGGTGTTTTGAAACGTTTGACGTTGACGAAGCCCGGGAAATCGTTGCGCGCAATTTTTGCAGCCACAGGCTTGATCGAATGTCCTCGGGGGATCGGTTCGATGCCTGCCAGAACAGGGTCGATGGCGAAAGACTCTCGCTGAACTACATTCGCTACGGTGCCGATGTGACCATCGATCCGGGTGAACTTTCGGAGTTCTATCTGATACAGATTCCGATCGCAGGCACGGCGCAAGTCAGGAACGGAATCCGATCCGTTTACTCAACACGTTCCGTCGGGGTTGTTTTGAACCCGGACCGACATACCACGATGCGTTGGCACGAAGGCTGTGAACAGGTTCTGGTCCAGATCGAAAAATCCTACATGCGGGATATCGCCGTCAGGATGACGGGTGTGGACGTGAACTCGATCCGTTTCTCGCCAGGGTTGGATTTGAACCATGAATCCATCGCCTCATGGGCATGGCGCCTGCGCGCTTTGTTCGGGGCGGCGGAGGCCGGACAGGCTTTTCAGGGGTCTGACCTTCAGCAGCAAAGTCAGCTGGAAGAGGCTTTGGTGATGTCGTTGCTGGAGGTGCAGCCCAGCACTGTTTCGCACTTTCTCGGAGAACGGCGCAGCGGCGCCTCGCCGGCGATCCTGAAACGGGCGTTGTCGCTAATCAACGAGCAATTCGGGCAAGACATCAGTCTTCTGGATATCAGCGCTTTCGCCGGAACAACGCCCCGCAATCTGCAGATCCTCTTCAAGCGGGAGTTGGGATGTACGCCAATGGAAAAACTGCGGGACGTTCGGTTGAATTTTGCGCGACACCTGCTGGTATCAAGCGGCAAACATCAATCCGTCGCGGACATTGCCGAAAAGTCCGGGCACCGCCACGCGGGGCGGTTCTCACTGGCATACAAAACGTGTTTCGGCGAATCTCCAAAGGAAACTCAACGCCGCCGCCCGTTCGGATAGTTCAAGCCTTTCCGTACCTGGGTCATGTATTGCTTCATGACAACTTTTCTCTGAATTTACGGAAGATTTCGTTCGGTCGCGTGTTTTATGTATTATGCAAAATTTCGTGAGACTAAATATGATAAAATTGTGTCTTCGAGGTCATTTTAAAACCTTTAACATTTAATGTTTTGTCCATGTTGTTGTCTTTGTTCCTTCCTAATCTTGATTCGTTGTATTCAATACAGGTGGGATCGAAATGGAAGGGACGTTCGAGGACTTTTTGGCCGCGTTGTTGGCGTTTGAGTCGGGTTGGGACAGGGACCGCTACAGCGCGGGCGTCATTCAGGACTGGCAGCTCGACCAATGGGCGGGTGGTGCGGTTGAAACCCATTTTCCGCAATATACGAGCTGGTCGCAGTTGACCGACACGGAATGGGAAACCATGGCGTACCGGTCCATGAATTCGCTCGGGTTTGTCGGTTTTCAGTTCGGCGAAGCGCTGCTCATAGATCTCGGCTATTATGACGATGACGTCTTCTACGGAAACGGGGCAGCTTCCAATACTTGGGACGGGAACTGGACTGGCAAGAATGGCGTGAATTCCCTGGAAGAATTCATGACCAGGGACGCACAGAACGTCGCGATCCAGGAGGCTTTCGGCTACAATCTTCAGGTTCTGGAAACGCAGTTGGCCGGGAGCGGACAGTCGCTGAGCGATTTCATCGGCCAGACGGCGAGCTACACCCAGAACGGCCAAACCGTCACAGTCGACCTTACGTTGACCGGTATTCTCGCCGCAGCTCATCTGCGCGGTGCATGGGGGACCGCGACGCTTCTGCAAGGCGGGGCCGTCAGCACAGACGAATACGGTACATCGATCCTGCAATACATAGATCAGTTCGGCGGCTTCGAGGCCCCTTCGATCGGGCAGATGATCGCCTTTTACGAAGATCGCCTGACCGGCGACGAAGGTCTCGGCACACCGGGCGAGACGCCCGGAACCGGCACGCCGGGCCAGCCGGACAGTGACGGCGGCAACGGCGGCGCCGGCGTCACCGAAAGCGATGCGGATGTCGTGATTACCTGGTCCTGGGGGCAGAACGAGGTTGTCACCGGTTTCGACCCGTCATCGGGTACAATCTTTATCGACTGGATCGGCGCCGATGACCTCGAGGTTTCCGAGACAGTTGAGGGTGTCGTGTTTGCAATCCCGTCCAACAACCAGACAACAACCCTCTCGGGCGTCCGGCTGAGTGAGCTGAGCGGGGAAAACTTCACGATCCTTGATACAACCACCGCCGCAGAAGTTCTGGGACTTGTTGGCAACGGATCAGGGATCCCTGATACACCGGATGAGCCTGACACACCTGTCGAGCCGGACACGCCAAACGAACCGGAAACACCTGACGAGCCGGATGCTCCCGATATGCCTGCTCCGCCGGTGACGCCGGACAGCTGGAACGGTACGGCCGGTGTCACGGCGGCCACGGCGACGCTGGCAATCACATGGTCCTGGGGAACAAACAGGAGTGTTGCCGACTTTGATCCGCAAAACGACACGATCTTTATCGACTGGTTTGGACCGGATGCGATCAATGTCGACGAAGTGGGCGGGAATGTTGTCTTCACAATGGCGTCGAACAATCAGACGCTGACACTCGAAGGCCTCGCTCTTAGTGATCTTTCACCGTCGAATTTCACCATCATGAGTGAAGCAACAGGCAGGGAGCTTCTGTCTCTGGTCGGCAGCGATCCCGTTGCTCCAGGCGATCCTGTTGACCCGGGCACGCCTGACGGACCGCAAATGATCATGATCCAAACGGACAGCCCATCGCGGGTGATCGACAACTTCAATCCGGCAACCGACATGCTTCATCTGGAAGCGGGTGTGATAGCCGAGCGGCTCGAGTTCGCCGGATATCCGACGACGATTGCCGATGTTTCCGCTGGACTGACCGTGCGTGTGCTGACACCGACGGGTGAGATTGCCAGCGAAACGGTTCTGGTCGGTGTTGATGCTTCCGATCTCACCTTGAACAATTTCATGGTCGCCGAGGAATCAGCGTTGAACGAAGTTGCGACGCTTCTGGGACAGTCCGTCGTTACACCTGACACAGGAGGCTTTGACGTCGTATATGACGCCGATGGTTCCAATCCTCCTGTTCCGTCCGGTACTAGCGATTTGGGTGGGGTCAAATGGCCTGCCGACTTCGGGGCAGATGACATAATAGGGTTCAACCCGGCCTCGGACGAGATCGATTTCGGTAATGCTTCCGTGCATGGACTTGTTCTGAACATGACGGCGAACGGCGAGCCGGTTATCGACAATCCATGGGGACCCGACATGCAGATCCTTCAGGGCGTCCAATTGTCGGAATTGTCTATCGAGAACTTCGGTGTCGTCGGGAACGAGCATCTGCGTCAGGACGTAGGAGGTATCTTGTCTTGGGAGGGCAATATCGGACCACGGGATGCGGATACCGTCTATATCCGCTCACATGAATACGGTGCTTCGGAAGTGATCGAAGGTTTCGATCCGGCAACACAGAAAATCAGCTTCCTCTATTTTGGAACCCGCGAACGCCTTAGCGTCGAGGATACGCCTGAAGGAATGGTGATCAGTTCATTGCCGAGCGGTCAAAGCTTTGTTTTCCCGGCAGTTTCGAAGGGGGAACTCATTGCGGGAAATGTCGAGTTCCACCACGATCAGGTGATGGAAGACAACCTTGAAGCGCCGTTCGGCTTCGACCAGAACGATGTTACTCTTGTTTCGCGCACCGCTCTTCTGACCCCTGATGCTCCTCCTGGTGAAACGACGGACGGTCACCAGATCCGAGACGGTGTCGGCGCAGTTCCGGATCAACCCGATGCTCCGGATGATCCTGAAACACCGGATACACCGGAAACGCCTGTTGTGACCCCGGTAACTGACAGTGACATTGTGCTCGGGGAGGGTTCTGATACGGTGCTCGTGACCTGGGAATGGGGTCGGAAATTCGCTGTAAAGGCCTTCAATCCCGCGGAGGATTCATTAAATTTTACCGGCCTGCCGGCTTCTGATGTCCGGATCGAGGAAGTCGGCGCCGACCTGAAGATCACTGTCGAAAACAATGGCGGTCATAGCTTGTTGCTTGAAGGTCTGCAGGCTGAGGACCTCTCGATTGTCAACCTGGCAGCGGCCGACTGGAACCAGGTTGTCACGGATACGGGTGGCGTCTTGGATCAACTTGAAGCGCTCGGCAACAACGATGTGCTTGCCTGATAACAGAAACGGCTTCTCTGGAGCACAGCGCCGCGCATCTGCGCGGCGTTTTTTGTTCTCCACAGGTCATTCAAAAGCATGGTCTGCTGGGCAGTTCTTGCCGGGTTGCGCGTGACGGGACATCAAAACCTCCGTAATCCTGCGAATCCGATTCTCGCTTTCTGTCAAGGCTTCATTAAGCATGTTTCGACTAACCTCATCCGATGAGGGCGTGTGCGATCAAATCGAGCCAAAATCCAAGAGATTCCATTGACCGCCCATGTTTTCCCATGGTATCCCATAAGGACCCAGAAAGGGGAGGGCGGGCCCATTTCAGCAGGGCCTGGGACATCAAATTTACGGCTCGGCAAGAGCCGGTTTTGCAAAATGCATGTCCTTAGGCCGCACGCTGGCCGTTTCTTCTCAGAGGTGATTAGGGAATTTGACGGTTAGGAACCCGTCTGAAGGGGATTTATGTCCGGTTTTGTTTCTCACTTTACCAACCGGCTGGATGCCAAGGGTCGCGTGTCGATCCCGGCACCCTTCCGCGCGGTGCTGGCGAGAGACGGATTTGAAGGCCTTTATTGCATCACTTCTGCCCATTGCGACGCGGTCGATGCCGGCGGCAACGAACTTCTCGCCGAGATCAACAAGCGTTCGGAGGCATTCGCGAAGCTCTCGCCGGATCATGACGCACTTGCAGTCGCGCTTTTCGGGGCAAGCGAAAATCCCAAGATAGACGGAGATGGACGCATGACCATTTCCGACATGATCCGTGACCACGCGGGTATCACCGACCAGGTCACCTTCGTCGGCATGAACTACAAGTTTCAGATCTGGGAGCCGGCAAAGTTCCGCGAGTACCGTGCAGAGGCCCAAAGGCGCGCGCTCGCGATGCTGTCGGGGCAGGCCCCCGTACCTTCACAAGGAGAGCCGGCATGATGGCGCTCGGCGACAGAAATGCTGCATCTGCCGCTGGCGGACTCGAGCGCCATGTACCGGTTCTCCTGAGTGAAGTCCTCAAGTCGCTTGATCCGCGGCCGGGCGAAGTGATCGTCGACGGAACGTTCGGAGCGGGTGGTTACTCGCGTGCGATGCTGGCACGTGGAGCCAGTGTTATCGGGATCGACCGGGATCCAGACGCTATTTCTGCCGGACAGGCTCTGGTCAGTGAAGCAGAGGGCGGCCTGATGCTGGTTTCCGGACAGTTCGCCGATCTGGATGAACTCGCCCGCTCTCAGGGACACGACACGGTTGACGGCGTTGTTCTCGATCTTGGTGTTTCGTCCATGCAGCTTGATGAAGCCGAACGTGGATTTTCATTCCTGCGTGACGGTCCTCTCGACATGCGCATGGAACAGGCCGGTCCGTCCGCAGCCGATGTCGTCAATGAACTCCCGGTCAGGGACCTGATCCGTGTCGTCGGACTGCTCGGTGAGGAAAAACGGGCGACTTCGGTTGCTCACGCAATTGATACGGCGCGCAAGGAAAAGCCATTCTCCCGCACGTTGGAGCTTGCCGATCTGATCGAGAAAGTGCTCGGCCGCTCACCCAAGAAGGCGCAGATCCATCCTGCGACCCGCACGTTTCAGGCGTTGCGGATCTATGTGAACGGCGAACTTCATCAGGCCGCGACGGCTTTGGGCGCTGCCGAGCGTCTCCTGAAGCCGGGTGGCCGTCTCGTTCTGGTGAGTTTTCATTCCCTGGAGGATCGCATCGTGAAGCGTTTCTTTCAGGACCGGACCCGGACGCGAGGCGGTGGGTCCAGACATATGCCGGAAGAGGAAGTTCCTCCGGCAACATTCGAGCTCATGACCCGCAAGGCGGTTGAGGCTACGAGCCACGAGAGGGATGAAAACCCGCGTGCGCGCTCGGCAAAGCTCAGGGCAGGGCGACGCACGGACGCGCCGGCGCGTGAATTGGATATCCATGCTGCGGGCGTGCCGCGTCTTGCAGATTTTCATGGTCTAGGGGGCTGAAGATGGTTCGGACGCTGAACATTTTGTTCATTCTGGCAGTCGTGATCGGCGCGGCAACCGTTTACGACATGAAGCTGGCGGCGACCAAGTCAGCCGAGAAAGTCGCCGAGCTGCAGCGTCAGATCAACGAAGAGCGCAACGCGATCCGGCACCTCAAGGCGGAATGGAGCCTGCTGAACAAGCCGGACCGCCTGCAGGGCCTCGTGGAGCGCTACAACGACTATCTCCAACTTGAGGCTCTTGATGTGAAGCAGATCGTGGCTCCGGCCGATCTTCCCGCGCGCCCAGTCATGCTTGAGCCCATTGGTGGCTCCAATCAGATGGGCGGCTATGCCGGCTCATCTGCTGCGATCCAGTGAGGGCTGACGGATGACGATAGTAAGCGAACCGGCAAGCTTCCTGCAGATCAAACGCTCAAACCCACGGGTCGTACGCGGATCGGTCTCGTCGAGTGCGGTGAAATCGCGGGTCTACGTGGCGATGCTGGCATTTGCCTGTGTCTATGCCGCAATCGCCGGCCGGCTTGTCCTTCTGGCCCAGATGGAGGAAGCGCCTTCACGAGCCTGGATTTCCGCGCAAGATTCCGTGTCCGCGTCCCGTCCGGATCTGATCGACCGGAATGGTGAAATCCTGGCAACGGATATCAAGACCGCTTCTCTGTATGCTGAACCGCGCCGCATTCTGGATGTCGACGAAGCTGTCGAGGGATTGATCCGTGTCTTGCCGGAACTGGATGAAGGATTGGTACGCCGCCGTCTCGAAAGCGGCGCCGGTTTCGTCTGGCTGAAACGAGAAATGACGCCCCACAAGGCCGAAGAGGTGCACAATCTCGGCCTTCCGGGCATCGGCTTCCTTTCCGAGAACCAGCGCTTTTATCCGGGTGGGCCAACGGCCGGGCACATCGTCGGGTCCGTGAATGTCGACAATCAGGGCCTTGCCGGGATCGAAAAATACATCGATGACGAGTGGCTCGCCGATCTGCAGTCGCTCGGGTTCGCCTCCAACAGAACCATGGAACCTGTAAGACTGTCTGTCGATCTTCGAGTTCAGCATGTTGTTCGCGACGAACTGGTCAAGGCGATGGACCGCTACAAGGCGATTGCTGCCGCGGGAATTGTTCTGGATGCCAAGTCCGGCGAAGTGGTCGCCATGTCTTCATTGCCTGACTATGATCCGAATGACAGGTCGCAGGCGCTCCAGAAAGACAGGTTGAACCGTGCGACCGGCGGTGTCTTCGAAATGGGATCGGTTTTCAAGACCTTTACGACTGCCATGGCGCTTGATTCCGGTGCGGTTTCCATCAATGACAGCTTCGATGCGACACGTCCGATCAGGGCTGCCGGTCGGACGATCACGGATTTCCACGGGAAAAACCGCATCCTTTCAGTGCCGGAAATTTTCATCTATTCGTCCAATATCGGCACCGCCAAGATGATGCTTGCGACCGGAGTTGCGCGTCAGAAGGAGTTCCTGGGACGACTGCATCTGACCAGCCGGCTGAAGACCGAACTGCCCGAAAACGCTGCTCCGCTACTTCCGCCGAAGTGGAATGAACTTGCCGCAATGACGATTTCCTTCGGGCACGGACTGTCTGTCACTCCCATGCAGACGGCTGTTGCCGCCGCAGCCGTGGTCAACGGTGGCACCCTGCTGCCGCCAACTTTCCAGCCGAGAAGCGAGGAGGAGGCCCAAGCTCTTGGAAAACAAGTTCTTTCTGCGGATGTCAGCCGCATGATGCGCTATCTGCTCCGCCTCAATGTCCTTTCCGGATCCGGGCGCCGTGCCGACGTTCCCGGCTATACGGTTGGCGGAAAGACCGGCACGGCAGAGAAAATTGAAAACGGCCGTTATGTCAGAAACAAGCGAAGGAATTCATTCCTGTCCGCTTTTCCGATGGATGACCCGAGATACGTGGTTCTGATTGTTATCGACGAACCGAAACCGGAACGCGCAGGGATCGGAGCGACGGCGGGGCTGAACGCGGCACCGACTGTCGCCGCGGTCGTCCGCAGGGCAGCTCCGATGCTGGGTGTGATGCCGCGTTTCGGCAAGGGGGATGAACCGATTGAGATTTCCTATTAAGGAGACAAGGGAGAAGTCGTGATTTCCGGCGGGGTCGCAGCCGTAATCCGGATCCAGGGCTTCTGAATGACGACGCACAAACCGAACGATCAGGTGAGATGGAGCTTGAATATTTGGCCGAGGGCACAAGTTTGCCAGACTCGGCGAGTGGTCTGAAAATTTCCGGACTTACGGCGGATAGCCGGAACGTCGAGCCGGGTTTCCTGTTTGCCGCCCTCAAGGGTGCCAGGACAGACGGGAGCCTGTTCGCGCCGGGTGCCGTCGAGGCCGGGGCTGTTGCGTTGTTGTGCGCTAAGGATGCGGAGCAACAGCTGCGTGCGGCCATCCCCGAGAATGTTGCCGTTATTGCGGCTGAAGAACCGCGGCAAGTGTTTGCGAAAATGGCTGCGAGGTTTTTCGGTGCCCAGCCTGATATTGTCGTTGCCGTTACCGGAACAGCCGGCAAGACTTCCGTTGCGCATTTCGTACGTCAGATATTCCAGTCTGCGGGTCATCCGGCCGCAAGCCTCGGGACGCTGGGTACGATCAAACCTGATGGTATCAGTTATGGCGGGTTGACGACCCCGGATCCGGTGGCGCTTCACAGGGAGCTTGCCGAACTGGAAGCCGAAGGCATCAACCACGCGGCCCTGGAAGCGTCGTCCCACGGACTTGATCAATTTCGCCTGGATGGAGTGCGGTTGACTGCGGCAGCTTTCACAAATCTGGGCCGCGACCATATGGACTATCACGCGACCATCGAGGACTACCTTTGCGCCAAACTCCGTCTGGTTGAGGATTTGTTGCCGGATGGTGGAACAGTTGTCGTGGATCCCGCTGAAAAATATGCAGACCGGGTCCTGGACGTTGCCGGCCGGCGCGGACTGCCGGCTTTCACGGTCGGTGAAACAGGCCGAGACCTGAAACTGACAGGAATACGTGCGGTCGGAGCCGGACAGGAACTGACGCTGCAGACAGCGCGTGGCGAATACAAGATCACGCTACCGCTGATCGGGCGCTTTCAGGTGTCCAATGCCTTGATTGCAGCCGGATTGGCGATTGCGGCTGGAACCGACAGCGGCTTGGTCCTGCGGTCTCTGGAAAATCTGAAAGGTGCACCGGGTCGACTGGAACTTGCAGGCAGGACGGCTTCCGGCGGACTGGTCTTTGTCGACTATGCGCATACGCCGGACGCGCTTGACAATGCACTTGCTGCGCTGAAGCCGTTTGCGACCGGAAAATTGTCCGTTGTCGTGGGCGCGGGTGGTGACCGGGATCCGGGCAAACGCGAGCTCATGGGCGCTGCTGCCTCCCGAAACGCGGATCTGGTCATTGTGACTGACGACAATCCACGCTCAGAAGATCCGGCGGTCATCCGCAAAGCCGTCATGTCAGGCGCTCCGCAAGCAATTGAGATCGGCGACCGATTTGACGCTATTGCCGAAGGAATTCATCGGCTCAATGCGGGCGATATCCTGTGCGTTGCAGGAAAAGGTCACGAAACCGGCCAGATTGTTGGCGACACAGTGATTCCCTTTTCCGACCACGAAGCTGTGCAGCGTGCCATCAGCCTTGAAGGAGACACATGAGCGACCCTCTTTGGAAACTGGACTCCGTTGTCGAAGCTGCCGGTGGCAGCCTCAAGGGGGACGTTGGCGAGGAAATCATGGGCGTCTCAATCGACAGCCGGTCGCTTGAGCCGGGAGACGCATTTATCGCCATCAGGGGAGACCGCCTCGATGGGCACGATTATGTCGCGGCCGCTCTGGAAGCTGGAGCGGCACTTGCAGTTGTTGCTGAAAGCCGGATGTCCGACCTGCCGGAAGACGGCCGTTATCTTGTTGTTCCCGATCCGCTGGCGGCGATGCGTCTTCTCGGCATTGCGGCTCGTGAACGTTCACATGCCAAGATTATCGCCGTAACCGGCTCCGTGGGGAAAACCGGAACCAAGGAAGCACTCAGGCTGACGCTCGAGCAATCCGGAAAAGTGCATGCATCCGTTGCGTCGTTCAACAACCATTGGGGTGTGCCGCTGACACTTGCCCGCATGCCTGCAGATACCGAATTCGGCGTCTTTGAGATCGGTATGAACCATGCCGGTGAAATAACGCCGCTGGTCAGGATGGTTCGGCCGCATGTGGTGATCATTACGACCGTGCAGGCGGTGCATCTGGAGTTCTTCGAGTCTGTGGAGAAAATCGCGCAGGCGAAGGCGGAGATATTTGACGGATTGGAACCGGGCGGAATTGCCATCCTGAACAAGGACAATCGGCAATACGATCTCCTGAGATTCCTGGCGGCCGCGGCGGGCGTCTCTCATGTCCAGACCTTCGGTGAAGACCCCGGCGCTGACAGCCATACCGAGAACGTCGTGGGTTATGCGAGTGGATCCAGTGTTGACGCCTCGATTGCCGGGACTGAAATCACCTACAAGATCGGCGCTCCCGGCAGGCATCACATCAAGAACAGCCTGGCGGTTCTGACAGCGGTCCAGGATGTCGGTGCGGACCTTGCGAAAGCGGGTCTTGCGCTGGATGCAATGCGCGCCCCGCGAGGACGCGGCGAAGTCAGCCATCTGAAGATAGATACCGGTGAAATCACGCTGATCGACGAGAGCTACAACGCCAATCCTGCCTCGATGCGCGCAGCGCTCGCGGTGCTGGGTGAGACGCCTGTTTCCCGCCCGGGACGCCGGATTGCCGTTCTTGGGGATATGCGCGAGCTTGGCGTTGATGCCGATCGTTTGCATGCAGGCCTGCTGGGACCCGTTACCGACGCCGGGATCGACGGTGTCTATTGCGCGGGCCCGCATATGCATACGCTCTGGGCACAGCTCCCGCATGAATTGCGTTCGCACTATGCCGAAGATGCAAAAGGTCTGGAAGACGCCATTTTGAGTGACGCGCGACCCGGCGATGTCGTTATGATCAAGGGATCGCTCGGAACTCGCATGGGACCGCTTGTCGAATCCCTGAAGAAGGAATACCCGCCCGCGGATGACACCGCGGCGGCATAAAGGATAGCTGATGTTTTATTTTTTGGGGCAGTTCGCTGATCAGATTTCCGCGCTGAACGTGTTCAGATACATCACGTTCCGGACCGGTGGCGCCATCATGACGGCGCTCTTTTTTGTTTTTCTGTTCGGTCCGAAGATCATTTCAAGCCTGAGGATCCGACAGGGGCACGGTCAGCCGATCAGGGCCGACGGACCGGAAAGCCACCTTCTGAACAAGAAAGGCACCCCGACCATGGGGGGGCTGATGATCCTTTCCGGAGCGTTGGTTGCAGCGCTTTTGTGGTCGGACCTGTCCAATCCCTATGTGTGGGTCGTCATAGGTGTGACCCTCGGTTTTGGCGGCATCGGTTTTTACGACGATTATCTGAAGGTTTCGAAATCGTCGCACAAGGGTTTCGGCGGCAAGGCGCGTCTGGGCCTTGAATTCCTGATCGCTGCTGTGGCCGCTTTCGTTGTGACTGTCCTGGATACGTCCGAGTTTTCAGAAGCGATCACGTTTCCGTTTCTGAAGGATTTCACGTTGAACCTCGGACTGGTTTTCATTCCGTTTGCGGCATTTGTAATGGTGGGTGCAGGCAATGCTGTAAACCTGACCGACGGGCTTGATGGCCTCGCGATCGTCCCGGTGATGATCGCCTGTGCATCCTTCGGTCTGATTGCCTACCTGTCCGGCAATGCTGTTTTTGCGAGTTACCTTCAGATCCATCATGTCTCGGGACCCGGAGAGCTTGCCGTCATTTGCGGTGCTGTGATCGGGGCAGGTCTCGGGTTTCTGTGGTTCAATGCACCGCCGGCCGCCATCTTCATGGGTGATACCGGGTCCCTGGCACTTGGTGGCATGATCGGCGCTATCGCGGTCGCCACGAAACATGAAATCGTTCTCGCGATCATCGGTGGCCTTTTTGTTCTGGAGGCGGTGTCGGTCATCGTGCAGGTGATTTCGTTCAAGCTGACCGGCAAACGGGTCTTCCGGATGGCGCCGATCCATCACCATTTTGAAATCATGGGGTGGACGGAAAGCCAGGTCGTGATCCGGTTCTGGATAATCGCGGTTGTTCTCGCCCTGGTCGGGCTTGCCACACTCAAGCTGAGGTAGTCCGAATGATACCCATCACCACATTTGAAGGCAGGAAAGTCGCATTGTTCGGGCTCGGGGGCTCCGGACTGGCGACTGCCCGTGCCTTGAAAGCGGGTGGTGCGGATGTGGTGTGTTACGACGACAATGATGCGCGCGTGCAGCAGGCAGCCTCCGAGGGGCTGACAACGCTGGATCTTCGCAATCTGGACTGGGATGGCGTTGAGGCGCTCGTGCTTGCTCCCGGTGTCCCGCTGACGAATCCGATTCCCCACTGGACCGTGGATCTTGCCCGCGATGCCGCTGTTGAGATTGTCGGCGATGTCGAATTGTTCTGCCGCGAGCGGCGCAAGCAATGTGCAACTGCGCCGCTGATCGCAATTACCGGCACCAACGGCAAGTCGACGACGACCGCACTTGTGGCGCATCTGTTGAAGGAGCTCGGGCTGGATGTTCAGGTCGGTGGCAACATCGGCACACCCGTGCTCGATCTGGAACCGCTGCAGCCGGGGCGCCACTACGTCGTCGAGTGCTCCTCCTACCAGATCGACCTGGCACCAACGCTCGACCCGAGCGTCGGGATCCACATGAACCTGTCACCCGATCACCTTGACCGGCACGGCACGATGGAAAATTACGCAGCAATCAAGGAACGGCTTGTTGCAGGATCCAGGGTGGCTGTCGTCGGTGTCGATGACGGGCTGTCGTCTGCGATCGCCGATCGACTTGAACTGGCGCACAAGCCCGTTTGCAGGATCGCCGGAGAACGGGAGTTGACCAGCGGGATCTATGCCCGTTTTGGCAGGCTTTACGAAGCGCACAACGGCAGTCAGTCGGAAGTCGCTTTGCTGGGTGGCATCGACAGTCTGCGCGGTGATCACAATGGTCAAAATGCAGCCGCTGCCTTTGCGACGCTCAGGGCACTGGAACTGCCGGCTGACAGGATTGCTGCGGCCATGAAGACATTCCCCGGCCTTCATCACCGCATGGAAATCGTTGCAAAACGTGGACGGATCCTGTTCGTCAACGATTCGAAAGCGACAAATGCGGAGGCCGCCGGCCGCGCGCTTTCCAGTTTCGACAGGATTTACTGGATCGCCGGCGGCCGCGCCAAAGCGGGTGGGATTGCGGTGCTCGACGAGTATTTCCCGAAGATCGCAAAGACCTTTTTGATCGGAGAAGCAGCGGAAGCGTTCTCAAAGACGCTGGAGGGCCGCGTCCCGTTCAAGATCAGCGGCACGCTGCCCGAGGCGGTGATCGATGCCGCCGGGGAGGCTGCAGAAGATGGCGCGGATGAAATTGCGATCCTGCTTTCACCGGCCTGTGCGAGCTTCGATCAATATCCGAATTTTGAACTGCGGGGCGCTGCTTTTGTAGATGCGGTGCGTGCCTTGCCTGATGCTGGTAACACTCAGGAGGTGGCGTAATGGTATCTCGGGCGGATCGCAGCCGGTTTGCCGAATGGCTCTGGACCGTGGATCACTATCTGCTCGCCGCTTTCGGTCTTCTGATGGTCGGTGGCGTGGTGCTTTCCTTTGCCGCCAGTCCTCCGGTTGCCGAACGGCTTGGTCTTGAAACGTTGTTCTTCGTGAAACGCCAGGCACTGGTTCTTATTCCCGCCGTTGCAGTCATGTTGGCAGGCTCGCTGATGCCACCGCGCCTGGTCCGGCGCGCGGCGTTGATCCTCTTTGTGGTTTCGCTCGTCCTGCTGGTCGCGACGCTGTTTCTCGGATTTGAAGCCAAGGGTGCCAGGCGCTGGATTTACATTGCCGGATTTTCGTTGCAGCCGTCGGAATTCCTGAAACCCGCCTTCGTGGTACTGATCGCGTTTTTGCTTTCAGAAAGCGGCCGCCGCCGTGAAGTTCCAGGCGTCCTGTTTGCATTCGTGCTTTTCGCCGTCTGCGCAGCTTTGCTGATTGCCCAGCCTGATTTCGGACAGACAATGCTGCTTGGTCTCGTCTGGGCAGGGCTTTTCTTCCTGAACGGCATTTCGTGGCTGATCATCGTTGCGCTTGGGCTGATCGGCATTTTAGGTCTTTTGGCGGCCTACGCTTTCCTGCCGCACGTGACCAATCGAGTGGACAGGTTTCTTGATCCCAGTTCGGGCGACACCTTCCAGGTCGATACCGCAATGGATTCCTTTCTTGCAGGTGGCTGGTTCGGTCGCGGACCGGGAGAAGGCACCGTCAAACGAATCTTGCCGGACAGCCATACCGATTTCATCTTTGCGGTTGTCGGCGAGGAATTCGGAGTTGTCATCTGCCTGGTGCTTGTTTCAATCTTTGCCTTCATTGTGCTTCGCGGGCTCAACCATGCAGGCCGGGACCAGGATGCATTCAGCCGCCTGGCGACGGCAGGACTTGTGGTTCTGTTCGGCTTGCAGGCGACAATCAATCTTGCCGTAAATCTGCATCTCATGCCTTCGAAAGGCATGACTTTGCCGTTCATTTCCTATGGTGGGTCATCATTGTTGTCTTCCGCAATAACCGCCGGTGCCATCCTTGCCCTGACACGCAGAAAACCCCAGCCTTCCAGGGCGGAAACGGTAACGGTGAGCCGGCTTTCACCCTCTTCTTTGATGTAAGGCAGCGTTGCCGGATAGCATGAGCAAAACAGTATTATTGACAGCCGGCGGAACGGGCGGCCACTTGTTTCCCGCACAAGCGCTTGCATCCGAGCTTGATAGGCGCGGCTGGATTGTCGAGCTTGCGACTGACGAACGGGCGGACAGGTACGGTACCGCCTTTCCCGCCCGCAAGGTTCATATCATCGCATCCGAAACCATCCGGGGGCGCAATCCGATTTCGCTGGCCAGGACCGGTCTGAACCTGTTCCTGGGCACGCTCCAGGCAAGAGCTGGGATAAAATCCTTGAAACCCAGCGTTGTTGCCGGCTTCGGTGGTTATCCGACTTTCCCGCCGATGTACGCCGCACGCCTGACGGGAACACCGTCAATCCTGCATGAGGCCAATGGCGTCATGGGCCGGGCAAACAAGATGCTGGCCAAGGGAGTTACGGCAATTGCGACCAGCATACCGCTGGAAAACCTGCCTTCGGACCTTGCCGCCAAGCAGGTGGAAACCGGTAACCCGGTCCGCGATGCCGTTCTGGAAGCTGCCGGTCAGCCCTATGCAGCGCCAGTTGAAGGTGGAGAATTCAATCTTCTGGTCTTCGGTGGGTCACAGGGCGCACGGTTTTTTTCCGATCTCCTGCCGCCGGCAATGGACCTGATGCCGAATGAGGTTCGAAGCCGCCTGACTGTTGTGCAGCAATGCCGCGCCGAAGACCTGGAACGCGTCAAGTCGGCCTATGACACGTCGGGAATCAAGGCGGAATGCGCGTCTTTTTTCAAAGATATGCCGAGCCGGATTGCTCAGTCTCATCTCGTTATCTGCCGTTCCGGAGCTTCGTCAGTAAGCGAACTCAGCGTCCTGGGACGTCCATCACTTCTCGTACCCCTTCCTGGAGCGATCGACCAGGATCAGGCTGCAAATGCGAAGGTTCTGGAAGCGGCAGGTGGTGCGTGGCCGATACGTCAGGCAGACCTTGACCCGGCAAGGCTGGCCGACGAAATCACCCGATTGATGAATGCGCCGGACACGCTGGCAAAGGCCGCGGAAAATGCAAACAGCGTTGCCAGGCCGGATGCCGTCAAGCGCCTCGCGGACCTTGTTGAACAGGTCGCAGACAACCAAGGAGAACGGCCATGAAAATGCCGCACGACATCGGACCGGTTCATTTCGTCGGAATCGGCGGAATAGGCATGAGTGGCATCGCAGAAGTGCTGAAAACACTCGGGTACCAGGTCCAGGGATCCGACATGGCCGAAAACGCCAATGTCCAGCGCCTGAGGTCGCACGGAATTTCTGTCGCGGTAGGGCACGCGCCTGAAAACCTCGGCGATGCGGAAGTGTTGGTGGTTTCCTCCGCGATCAGGAAGGACAACCCCGAACTGGTCGCCGCGCGCGAAAAACTGATCCCTGTCGTACGCCGTGCCGAAATGCTGGCTGAACTGATGCGCTTCAAGCAGGCGATTGCGGTCGGCGGCACGCACGGCAAAACGACGACGACATCCCTGGTGGCGGCGCTGCTTGATGCGGGAAGTCTTGACCCGACCGTGATCAACGGTGGCATCATCAACGCATATGGCACCAACGCGCGAATGGGGGGCGGAGACTGGATGGTCGTCGAGGCCGATGAAAGCGACGGAACTTTCGTCAAGCTTCCGGCCGATATTGCAATTGTCACCAATATAGATCCGGAGCATCTCGACCACTATGGGGACTTTGACGGTGTAAAGGCTGCTTTCCGGCAATTCGTTGAAAATGTTCCCTTTTACGGATTCGCGGTGATGTGTCTGGATCATCCGGAGGTTCAGACCATGATCGGAACGATCGAGGATCGACGGGTGGTGACATATGGCACCAATCCGCAAGCTGATGTTCGTTTCACCGACGTATCGATGGATGGTGGCAAGTCCAAATTCTCGGTTGCCATCCGGGACCGCCGAACGGACGAGGTGGTTGAACTGAAAGATCTTGTCCTTCCGATGCCAGGTCTTCACAACGTTTCCAATGCGACGGCGGCAATTGCAGTGGCATCGCAACTGGGGGTCGGACCGGAAGACCTGAAAAAAGGTATTTCGGATTTCGGTGGCGTCAAACGCCGTTTTACGCACACGGGAACTGCCAACGGCGTGCAGATCTTCGATGATTACGCTCACCATCCGGTGGAGATCAAGGCGGTTCTTCACGCCGCTCGCGAGTCAACCACGGGCAAGGTCATTGCGGTGATGCAGCCTCACAGGTACACGCGTCTTCACAGCCTTTTCGATGACTTTTCCAACTGTTTCAACGACGCGGATTCGGTCATCATCGCGCCCGTCTACGAAGCCGGTGAGCAACCGATCGAAGGTGCGAGCCACAGGGATCTGGTCTCTGGCATGAAGACCAGGGGACACCGGCAGGTGCAGTCGATTGACGGGCCGGAAGAACTGCCTGCCTTGATAAAGGAACTGGCCGAGCCGGGAGATTTCGTCATTTGTCTGGGGGCCGGCAACATCACGCAATGGGCCTATGCACTCCCGAAACAGCTTGACGGGAAATAGGGCCGAGATTGATGAACTTTCCCGACCTTCTGGAAGCATATCCGGCTCTTGGCGAAGGGCTGCGCGGCAGACTTACGGCGAACCAGCCGTTGTCGGCCGTTACGTGGTTTCGAACAGGCGGGCCAGCGCAATTGTTGTTCCAGCCGGCCGACGAAAAAGATCTTGCCGTGTTTCTCAGGAAACTGCCTGGTGATGTGCCGGTGCTGCCGGTCGGGCTGGGATCGAATCTCCTGATCCGCGACGGCGGCATGGAAGGTGTCGTCATACGACTGAGCGCGAAGGGCTTCGGGGAGATCGAAGATCTGGGCCGGAATCGCCTCAGGGCGGGGGCGGCCGTTCCGGACAAGCGGCTTGCGGAGGCTGCAGCCAGGGCGGGTCTCGGCGGCTTTGCGTTTTACACAGGAATTCCGGGGGGTCTCGGCGGCGCCCTTCGCATGAATGCAGGCGCGCACGGCACCGAAACCCGCGAGCGCATGGTGGAATTGACAGCCCTGGACCGAGAGGGGAACAGGCACGTGCTGTCCAACGCGGATATGGGATATGCCTACAGACACTCCTCGGCGCCCGGGGATCTGATTTTCACATCGGCGACTTTTGAGGGAAATCCGCACGACGAAACGGCAATCAGGCAGGAAATGGCCGACGTTGTCGCACACCGGGAGAAGTCTCAGCCGATCCGGGAAAAGACGGGGGGGTCAACTTTCAAGAATCCTCCAGGAACATCGGCCTGGAAGGAAATTGATGCAGCTGGCTGCCGCGGACTGCAGGTCGGTGGCGCGCAGATGTCCGAAATGCACTGCAACTTCATGATCAACACCGGCGAGGCAACCGGATACGACCTTGAAATGTGGGGCGAAACCGTGCGTGCACGGGTCTTGAAACACAGTGGTATCCGTCTGGAATGGGAAATCAAGCGGCTTGGACGATTCGGAGCCGCTGGAACAGTCGAACCGTTTCTGGGACGGGAAGGGAAAGTCGCGTAAATGACCAAGAAACACGTTGCGGTTCTCATGGGCGGTTGGGTCAATGAACGCCCGGTCAGTCTTAGCAGCGGCAAGGATTGCGCCGATGCGCTCGAAGAAGCCGGTTACAAGGTGACGCGCATTGACGTGAACCGGAATGTCTCCTCGGTCCTTGAGAAGCTGAAACCGGACGTGGCGTTTAACGCGTTGCACGGTCCGTTCGGTGAAGACGGTTGTATCCAGGGAATTTTAGAGTTTCTTAACATTCCCTACACTCACTCAGGTGTGATGGCATCCAGCCTTGCCATGAACAAGGTGAAGGCCAAACCGGTTCTACAGGCTGCCGGGGTCCCGGTGACGGAAGACATCGTCGTGAATCGCCACGACATCCAGCGCGAACATCCCATGAGACCGCCTTACGTGCTCAAACCGATCAATGAGGGGTCGAGCTTCGGTGTCCTGATTGTCAAGCAAGATCAAGAGTGTCCGCCCCAGGAACTTCACAGGTCGGATTGGCCCTACCCGGATGTCCTGATGTGCGAGAAGTTCATCGATGGCCGTGAGCTGACCTGCGCCGTGATGGACGACAGGTCTCTTGGGGTGATCGACATAGTGCCTATGGGTCACAGCTTCTACGATTATGACGCAAAATATGTAGAAGGCGGTTCAAAACACATTCTTCCTGCAAAAATTTCACCGATTGTTTACCAAACCATAGAGACACTAGCAGTTAAGGCGCATCAGGCTTTGGGATGCCGTGGCGTTTCCCGGGCCGATTTCCGATTCGACGAGCGCGAAGACGGAACCGGTGAACTGATTTGCCTTGAAGTGAACACGCAGCCAGGCATGACGCCAACCTCTCTTGTGCCGGAAATGGCGGCTCATAAGGGGATGAGTTTCAAGGATCTGGTCAGTTGGATGGTTGAGGACGCAAGTTGCTGTCGCTAGGTCGCAAATGGAAAAGGGAAGCATTGACACCGCTGGAGGCCGAGCTGGCCCCGCGCGGGCGTGGTGTTTCGCGTTTGCACCGGCAGCCGGTCTGGCGCTCGGCCGGACGCCTTGCCCATCTTCCACGCTGGACGGGGTCTGCGGCAGCCCTTGGTTTCTTAACCTTAACGATTGGTTATGGAATAGTCATAGGCGGCCACGGCCGGATTGTCTCCGATGCGCTGCTGTCGGCAGCTGGCTTCGGCATCGAGGCTGTTAAACTTTCCGGTCAGCGTGAAATCAACGAATTCCAGATCCTTGAGGCACTTGAGATTCACGAAGGCACGTCGCTTGCCCTGTTTGATGCGCCCGGTGCGCGTAAGCGGTTGAACGAGATGGCCTGGGTCAAGAGCGCCTCGGTGATGAAACTTTATCCGAGCACGCTGCAGATCAAGATCGAAGAGCGGATACCATATGCGCTTTGGCAGCGCGGCGACCTGGTTTCAATTGTAAACGAAGCCGGCGACGTGATCACCGACGATGTCGACGGGCGCTACGCCAACCTGCTGCTCGTTGTCAATCATGGTGCACAACGCCGCGCGGCAGAGATCAATGCGGCTCTGGAAAAAGTACCTGAACTGCGTCCACGGGTGCGGGCCGCGTTTCTGGTCAGCAACCGGCGATGGGATCTACAGCTTGAAAATGGAATTTCTGTGCGCCTTCCGGAACAAAACATTAATGCAGCCCTCACGGATCTCGTGGAGATGGATGAGGACAGCGGTTTGTTGTCGAGAGATATCGTTGCCATCGACATGCGACTGGCGGACAGGGTTACCGTGCGCCTGTCCGACGAGGCTGCAGAGCAGCGCAAGATCATGACCGGAGGCCGCAACCGGTCGGGCAAGAAGGAGCAGGACACATGAGCCGCTCCGACAAGAACCTTTATCTGCCCAAGATGCGGCCTTTGCCGAGCAGACGCTCCGTCATCATGTCGGTTCTCGATGTGGGGTCGACCAAGATCTGCTGCCTGATTGCAAAACTGGTGCCGCAGGAAGAAAACTCGATTCTGTCGAGCCGGTCGCACAAGGTTGAAGTCCTCGGCTATGGCTATCAGCGCTCGCGCGGCATCAAGTCCGGCGTCGTCGTCGACATGGACGCAGCCGAGCAGGCGATCCGGATGGCAGTCGACAGTGCGGAGCGCATGGCCGGTGTCACGGTTGAATCGCTGATCGCCAATATCAGCTGCGGACGGCTGCAGAGTGAAATCTACAGCGCCAATGTGCCGCTTGCCGGCGACAGTGTATCGGAAGCGGATATTCAAAGGGTGCTCTCGGCCGGATCGAGCCACTCGGTTACGGACGGGCGGGCTGTCACGCACGCGCTGCCGATATCCTATTCACTGGACGGCAGCCGGGGCATTCGCGATCCGCGCGGCATGATGGGGCACAAGCTCGGTGTCGACATGCAGGTCGTGACCGCTGAAAACCCGCCGGTTCGAAACCTCGAACTGTGCATCAACCGGGGACACCTGCACGTGGAAACGATGGTGGCCACACCATTTGCAAGTGGTCTGTCCACCGTGGTCGACGACGAGGCCGAACTGGGTGTTGCCTGCATCGACATGGGTGGCGGCACCACGACACTGTCGGTCTTTGTTGACGGTCACATGGTTCACCTCGATGCGATTGCAGTCGGCGGCAATCATGTGACAACAGACATTGCCCGTGCTTTTGCAACGCGCCTGCAGGACGCAGAGCGCCTGAAAACACTTTATGGCTCACCGCTGGCATCCAGTTCGGACGAAAGGGACCTGCTGACGGTCCCTCCGCTGGAAAGCGATGGCGATCTGCCAAATCAAATCCCCCGCTCGGCGCTGACCAGGGTCATCCGTCCGCGTGTGGAAGAAATCCTTGAACTCGTAAGAGATCGCCTTACCGCGTCCGGCTTTGCAGGCCGGGTCGGCAAGCAGATCGTGCTGACAGGGGGCGCCAGTCAGCTCACGGGTCTTGGAGAGGTTGCGCGTCACATTTTGGGGCGCAACGTCCGTCTTGGCCGGCCTTTAGGCGTTGCCGGTCTTCCCGAGGCTGCCAAAGGTCCGGCTTTTGCCGCGGCCGTCGGCCTCTTGATTTATCCGCAAGTCGCTCAGATCGAACAGTTCGAACACAAGAATCGTCGATCGGGGTGGGGCGGGCAAACTGGTTATCTGGCCCGTGTGGGTCAGTGGATCAGGGAAAGCTTCTGACGACATGAGCCAAGAAGACGACAGCCAGGAAATCGAGCTGCCAGGTGTGGCAGTTGAAATTAGGGAAGAAGAGGAGTCTCCCGTATCGGGGGAGCCAGTGGGTCGCGAGGATAATATGACCATTAACCTGAAGATGCCCGACATTCAGGAGCTGAAACCGCGCATTACGGTCTTCGGCGTCGGCGGTGCGGGCGGAAATGCCGTCAATAACATGATCACAGCAGGCCTCCCGGGGTGCGACTTTGTTTGCGCCAATACGGATGCCCAGGCACTGGCCATGAACCATTCCGACCGGCTCGTCCAGATGGGCGTAGCTGTTACGGAGGGGCTTGGTGCAGGCTCCCAGCCGGAAGTCGGCTCTGCCGCGGCTGAGGAAGTGATCGACGAGATCAACGATCACCTGTCCGGATCGCACAGGGTGTTTATTACCGCCGGTATGGGCGGTGGTACCGGCACTGGTGCAGCCCCGGTCA